ATCTTCTTGTTGCATCTCCTTGATCTTGTCCATCAAAGCTTGCACAACGCTCTCGTATTTCTGCACTTCACTTCGATAGTACATCTGCTGTGCGATGTTGGAAGCCTCGAGCTGTTGTTGCATTGTCATTGCCTGATGCGAACTCGGATCATCGGTAATGGCAGGGGTTGTAGCCGGCGAAGCATCACCGCGAACCGGCATGGTTTCCACGGTCATGTCTTCGTCGTCGGAATCCTGTGGATGGTTCGTCACCATTTTCTTCCACGTCATGGATCTTTCCCTCACCCTTGCTGTCGATGTCCTCGATCTTGCAGACGAACTTCTGGAAGACGATGGTTTCGACACTTTGTCGATTGTTCTGACTCCTCTATCCTTTACCGTCGACGGTGTCGTCCTCACCATCTGCAAACCAGACGATTCGGCACGTCGTTCAACCACCTTTGCTGTCCTCGATCCTGCGGATGTTGGACGAGAAGGCGTGGATGCTCTCGAAGTAGCCTTGGCTTTCGCTTTGGGATCTGCCTTGGCGATGGCAAGCGCCGAGGATTGACCTTTGTCATCCTCAGTGGAGCTGTCAACGGATTGCACCACGGTGTCATCGGCGGTTGAATCGCCAATTGCCGGTGCTGCCATCTCGGCACCGAAAGTCATTGTCGTATCTTGACTTGACCCAGAGTTCAGCGTGGTCGTGGTAGATCAAGTAGTTTTTGCTGTTGGTAGGCAAAGCCTACGGCTGATAACCTGCGTGGGGATTTGATCTTGATGATGTTCCTTGTCGCTCACTCCACCGAGCTATGAATAAGAGTGTGGTTGCCCTTCTACAGACTCGATAATCTATCACCTTCACGTCCACGCTCAGACCCTTATCCCTGGCAGGCAGATTCAGAGCTTTTCACCTTTGCGATCGGCGATGAATCGTCTGTGCTCGGGATGGCTTTGTTCCTCAGAAAGGTCACAGAAGACAATAAGCTGTTCTAAGCTATTGGCATCAGTATCTTGAGTCATCTTGAGCTTGTGCTCGTTCTTGAGCCAAAGTTGCGTTGGCGGCGTATGGTAACTGGTGTGGCTCTGTGGTATGCGAAGCATGCCCACAAGCTGACACGTAGAGATGGAGTACGCGTAGCGTGCCTCCACTTTTGACCTATACAAGTCGTTACTCATAGCTCTTATCGTGACACCACAGAACTTGACTGGGCATCGCAGTCCGTTCGCGGAAGGCAGATAAGGTTCAAAAAAATCCAAGACCCGAAACAAGTCTGATTGGGCTTTGCTTCATGAGATGTTCGGCGGAAACAGACTGTCTATACTTAGTGCAGAACCCGTTGTTCCAAGGCTTGAAAAATGCATGTTGGTGCCCTGGAAACCAAACTAAAACATTGGCAGTACGATTCAGGGGTGTTAGGCACAGGATGGAGCCGAGATCTGCCCTCGGAAAATGCAGTTGCAGGCCTCGGGAAATGCGGCTGGGCTTGGTCTGAAGCTTCGGGAGCTGAATCAAATGTAAATGCGTTCTTTATAAGGCTTGAAAAATGCAGGTTGATGCCCTGGAAACCAAACTTGAGACCCGGAGGGGTGACGAAAGCTCAAGCTTCATGGGCTTAGTAAGCATGAGTGAAGACCGTACACAGAAAAGCTCAGCTCATCATGAGCATCACTGGGATTAAAGTTTGGGGGTTGAGGAACACACCATTATTTCAATATCTAAGGAGCATACAGAAGAAAACAAACGGGGTCATACACAACCCTGGTGCACCCAAAGCCCTAGACCCATTGAATAAGTCTCCAGGGAACATACAGAGGAAAACGAACGGGGTTCATACACAACCCTTGCGCACTCCAAGCCCTAGACCCTGTATCTTAAAATCGCTGAAAAAGACAACCAATGGTGTCATACTCAGTTGTTTCAGTTTCCAAGGAGCATACAGAAGAAAACGAACGGGGTCATACGCAACCCTTGCGCAATCAAAGCCCTAGACCCTGTATGTTAAAATCATTGCAAAAGACAACGAAAGGTGTCATACACAGTTGTTTCAGTTTCCAAGGAGCATACAGAAGAAAACGAACGGGGTCATACACAACCCTTGCGCACTCAAAGCCCTAGACCCTGTATCTTAAAATCGCTGAAAAAGACAACGAATGGTGTCATACACAGTTGTTTCAGTTTCCAAGGAGCATACAGAAGAAAACGAACGGGGTCATACACAACCCTTGCGCACTCAAAGCCCTAGACCCTGTATCTTAAAATCGCTGAAAAAGACAACGAATGGTGTCCATACACAGTTGTTTCAGTTTCCAAGGAGCATACAGAAGAAAACGAACGGGTTCATACACAACCCTTGCGCACTCAAAGCCCTAGACCCTGTATCTTAAAATCGCTGAAAACGACAACGAATGGTTTCATACACAGTTGTTTCAGTTTCCAGGGTGCATACAGAAGAAAACGAACGGGGCCATACACAACCCTTGCGCACTCAAAGCCCTAGACCCTGTGTCTTAAGATCGCTGAAAAAGACAACGCATGGTGTCATACATAGTTGTTTCAGTTTCCAAGGAGCATACAGAAGAAAACGAACGGGGTCATACACAACCCTTGCGCACTCAAAGCCCTAGACCCTGTATCTGAAAATCGCTGAAAAAGACAACGAATGGTGTCATACACAGTTGTTTCAGTTTCCAAGGAGCATACAGAAGAAAACGAACGGGGTCATACACGACCCTTGCGCACTCAAAGCCCTAGACCCTGTATCTTAAATTCGCTGAAAAAGACAACGAATGGTGTCATACACAGTTGTTTCAGTTTCCAAGGAGCATACAGAAGAAAACGAACGGGGTCATACACAACCCTTGCGCACTCAAAGCCCTAGACCCTGTATCTTAAAATCGCTGAAAAAGACAACGAATGGTGTCATACACAGTTGCACAACCCTTGCGCACTCAAAGCCCTAGACCCTGTGTCTTAAAATCGCTGAAATCGACAACGAATGGTGTCATACACAGTTGTTTCAGTTTCCAAGGAGCATACAGAAGAAAACGAACGGGGTCATACACAACCCTTGCGCACTCAAAACCCTAGACCCTGTATCTTAAAATCGCTGAAAAAGACAACGGATGGTGTCATACACAGTTGTTTCAGTTTCCAAGGAGCATACAGAAGAAAACGAACGGGGTCATACACAACCCTTGCGCACTCAAAGCCCTAGACCCTGTGTCTTAAGATCGCTGAAAAAGACAACGGATGGTGTCATACACAGTTGTTTCAGTTTCCAAGGAGCATACAGAAGAAAACGAACGGGGTCATACACAACCCTTGCGCACTCAAAGCCGTAGACCCTGTAGCTTGAAATCGCTGAAAAAGACAACCAATGGTGTCATACACAGTTGTTTCAGTTTCCAAGGAGCATACAGAAGAAAACGAACGGGGTCATACGCAACCCTCGCGCACTCAAAACCCTAGAACCTGTATCTTGGAATCGCTGAAACAAACGAATGGTGTCATACACAGTTGTTTCAGTTTCCAAGGAGCATACAGAAGAAAACGAACGGGGTCATACGCAACCCTTGCGCACTCAAAGCCCTAGACCCTGTATCTTAAAATCGCTGAAAAAGACAACGAATGGTGTCATACACAGTTGTTTCAGTTTCCAAGGAGCATACAGAAGAAAACGAACGGGGTCATACACAACCCTTGCGCACTCAAAGCCCTAGAACCTGTAGCTTGAAATCGCTGAAAAAGACAACCAATGGTGTCATACACAGTTGTTTCAGTTTCCAAGGAGCATACAGAAGAAAACGAACGGGGTCATACGCAACCCTCGCGCACTCAAAACCCTAGAACCTGTATCTTGGAATCGCTGAAACAAACGAATGGTGTCATACACAGTTGTTTCAGTTTCCAAGGAGCATACAGAAGAAAACGAACGGGGTCATACGCAACCCTTGCGCACTCAGAGCCCTAGACCCTGTATCTTGGAATCGCTGAAAAAGACAACGAATGGTGTCATACACAGTTGTTTCAGTTTCTAAGGAGCATACAGAAGAAAACGAACGGGGTCATACACAACCCTTGCGCACTCAAAGCCCTAGAACCTGTATCTTAAAATCGCTGAAAACGACAACGAATGGTGTCGTACACAGTTGTTTCAGTTTCCAAGGAGCATACAGAAGAAAACGAACGGGGTCATACACAACCCTTGCGCACTCAAAGCCCTAAACCCTGTATCTTAAAATCGCTGAAATCGACAACGAATGGTGTCATACACAGTTGTTTCAGTTTCCAAGGAGCATACAGAAGAAAACGAACGGGGTCATACACAACCCTTGGGCAACTCAAAGCGCTAGACCCTGGAGTGGATGCTTTTCGAACATGGAAAGGAATGTCACCAAACGGAGAGAAAGAAGAACCCATCTGCGTGGCTGAACGAGGCCGTTTTGCATGTACAAATACTCCTATCTTGAACAAGCACTGATTTTACACTTCACGAAATGCCAATACCTTGTAAAACTTGAAGCTCCTGAGGCAGAAGCTGCACGCCACGACAGAAGACGCCGGGGGCTGCTTGAACAGTCAGGGCTTCGGGTGTCACATCTTCAACGACATGCAAGCGCACACTAGTTGGCATACAAACTTGCATGTTCACAAACAATCTTCGGTGGTCAGCTCGACTGGCCACGGCACAATTCACCTAGCTCCGAGTACTGAGGGATAAACTGATCGGTCCGGCCATTTCAGTATGCCATCCGTTTGCATCCAGAGTCCAGAGCTTTCCAGAGCTTTCGAAGAGAGTGAGCAGACACTGCAGTTCTCCGAGGCAGTGCCTCTTTGATGAATTGCGCAAGCACTTTCCCAAGCTAGATCATGCTTGAACGGCTGTTGATCTGAAGCCGCCTTCGTGTCCATGGCTGTCAGCTATTGTTCTACTGCGCTGCGAAGGCTCACCTGTGTTTCTGTCACTCGCCAGGTCTGCTGCGATGGTTCTTCCATGGCAGAAAACCCACGGCACTTACGGAATCGCATGTCCTCCATAGAGGACCAAGAATCTGTCCAGCGCAACTTCGCTCCTTTGCTGGAGCTTTCCAACAGCGGGAAAATGTAGCCAGGCAGGATGACCAACATCGCTTATCAGGAGCTCCAGCTTGTGCAGGAAGAAATCCAAATCATCCAGGTCTTCTTGCAAAAGGATGTAATCTACCAGCCAAGTCACCCACCACTGACGCAACTCGTTATGCAGTGCCCGATGGCAATGCACAAGGTGCTTCATGACATTCTCCAGCTCTCCAGGTTGCGGTGCTTCCAGAATACACTGCAAGATGTTCGGCATATCTTCCATGACATGATTTTGCATCTCTTTGCAGCCGTGCACCCCTAAAGCTACCATGACAAGAAGAGCAGCTCGCCGCTGCTCCGTCGGTGGCCCGTAGCAACACTGCACCAGGACACCCGTCATTTCGTGCATGCATTCGACAGCCTTTAAACTGTTGGGAATTCGGCAGAGAAGCATTTGTCGATGGACCCAAAGTCTGCCTCAGTTCAGTTCGATAGAACGCACCGTCCTTGAGGCAATTGTGTGTTAGATCTCACAATTCAGACTACTTTACGGGTCGACGTTGAGGTTGCACATGTCCCACGCAATGCAACAAAGGTGCACGCCACGCGCTTCTCCAGCTGGGGATCCTCCCTGAAGCAGCGAAGAATCTGGCTGCGAGGCCGACCACAAAGCAAACGGTCTTCGCAGTGCGCCAGTTCGGACAGCCACACGGGCGAATCTGCAATGTTGGCGCATTCGACCAAATGTTGTACCACTGCCTAGGCAAGACGTATCCCTGCGCAAAGTTGTGCTCAAGGACTCCGGGCCTCCGAGTTCACGGAGCGGCACAGCGTGCAAAGCTGCAACATGTCTGGGACCTCGGCACCGGCTCACTAGTCACTAGCGCAAGAACAAAAAGCTGGAAGGTATACAGCCGTCAAAGAGCACGCAGCATCTCCAGCAAAGCCATCTGCAAGTCGACGAGGGCAAAAATCGAAAAGGGCCTTGCGGTTCCATGTTCCAACCAGGTAACGAGGTAACGAAACAAATCCGCACGCGACTGGCCCGCACACCAGCTCTGGGACTTGAGGCGACGGCTCTAAGTGTGCTGCATGTGGATTTGTATAGCCTGCAAAGAGTCAACTAGGTGGCTGAGCGACTTCACCAAAACGTCCGCAAATGTGCTACATGAGTCGCTGCCTGTCCAGTCCTCGCTGTACTCAAACATGTTGTTGGGCTTTTTGCGCCTGAAGACCGCAGGCTGCGACACAGGAGATGTAAGAGCTGCGCCAGGCAAACCTTGCACGACAAGGACGTTGCGGGTCTGTCGGCGAGTCCACCACATCCTTTTCCCTGTCCTGACAGTTGACACCCCCCACATGAAGCTCGACTAAGGATCAAGGACCTAGGAGCTACGCCCCTCCACAATCGCATGGCTGCGCAATCATGAGCCTCCAGAGAGTTCGTTGGATAGTTTTCAATAGAGACCTTAGTCGCATACAAGGTGCTTGAAAATTGAGTGCAAGCTGTCTCGGAGCTGGGCTGAACAATCCTGAATGCCGGACAGCCTTGCATCTCTTCCAGCTCTGAAGACGGCTGAATGTTCGGTTTCAAAGGAGCTGGGTTGATGACGCGTCCAGCTCACTGCGGTATGTAGTATGGTCCTGCCACTACGTTCATGGACTTGACTTTCGCACATCATCAAAGGCACGGCCTTGTTCGTGTCGTCCCCGACCACTGCCTTGCAGGTATGTGCAACGGCTTCTCCAGCAGGATGTTGGACAAAATGTTGAAGTCCGGCCGCATCATTCTCATCGTTTGTGCCGGAGTTCAGGGCCTGCGCTGGCCCCAACGCTCCAACTGCAAGTCAATCCCTGCGGGCAAAGAAGAGGCAGCCTGTTGCTGATCGCGAGGATGCCTCATCAAATCGCCTCTTGGTTGGTTGGCTGGTTGATTTGCTATCGTACGATGGGTATAAAATCTTCAAACCCCGCTTTCTAGCGAACGTCACTTGTTGCTTCAGGCCTCGGCCGTAGTCAATCCAGCTTGCACTGCATTGGGTCCACTCATGTCCACTCGGGCTCACGAGCGCTTGTGACGGTGCAACTGTCTGTCCTGCTTTCCAGCATTTCCCAACTTTCTCAGTACTACCCCAGGCCCAACACCAACGGAAGCATTCGCAACAGGACCACAAAGGCAACAAAGGCAGAAAGACCGAAAGACGGTACGATAGAGAACAAATCTACAGGGGGCAGGGCTCAAGAAAATGCAAATGTACATATCTACGGGTATGCAGTTCAATATCTATAATATATATTTATCGCACTCAAAGAGCATACACATATAGGTGTACTGAACTGGCGGCTTTCCCGCACCAACATTATCTTGCTGCTTGACAGCGCTAGTTTGAACAACAACAGCGATTTCTAAATAACATGCGAGTCAAAAGCGACCTTGCCCAACTATCCCTGCTGGACAAATAAGCGAAGCAACTCTTCAGGAGGCTTCTTCCCACAACTGCGACCAAGCTACTCCTGTCGCAGGTGATGGTACCACTAGACGTACAGGCTGCGCATTGGAATGGATTAGTGATTAGTCGCTCTTGCCATCTGCTGATCCGCTATTGGCGCAATAGTACCAAATCCAAGGGCCCCGGCTCGGAGATAAGACAGTCCCAAGCAAAGCGATGCCTCCAAAGCACATGAACAAAAGCATTGCACCTTTGCCAGTGCAGGCTGCGGCCTTCTCCAGCACGTAGCCAATCCACATCATACTCAGACTCTATCTGCAACACGTCAAGCCTTAGTCGCCCGAGCAAACAATTCTACGTCCTGTTTGGGGATTCGAATCCTGAGCGAACGAAGGATCTGTAAAACTCTAAAAACCAAGCACTGCGCGTGTTGGGCTCAAACTTTTCCGAGTCCTGATGGCAGGCCATCGCAGAGTGTGTACTCACTACTGCTGCTACCGTCGCTCCTCCAAGGAAAGTCTTGCACAGCAACCCTGACCGTGAATGCCGCGAGAAGCACAGCTTTGAATCCATTTGCAGATCTCGGGAAGGCGCAGCCTGCATCGGCATCAACAGGCTATCCTCGAGGAGGTGATGCGACCAATCCTTAATCACAGCGGGGCTTCTCTCACTGCTCCAGCGGATTGCCAATGGACATCGGCAATTTGCCACATGTCTACGTGAAAATGCGAACACATGTCAAGAATTGCAGAGGTCCGGACTGCATTTGGCAAAGGCTCAGCTGGGTCCAAATCAATGCCGAACCGCCTGAACTTTTCGGATCCTTCCCACAAATCTGAATGAACAAACCCTTTGAGCCAACCACGCGTCCGGCGGGACCTTGAAGCCAAGGATCGGCTCCTGCGGTATCATGACGCTATGATCCAACCAGCTTTAACAAAGAAGAAAGGGAGAAAAGACCCGGCAGACTCTGCTTCTGTTGCTCTTCCTGCCTTCTTTGCATGGAGCTCTGCAATAAGCTCCTGATGAATTGGACAAAACATGATGAAGGGCTGAAGATTATAGTCATGTTGCCCGCGCCTTTTTGAAGTCTAGCAGCTGCTCCCTCAGTGAACCTCCGCTTGCAAAACAGGCGTGTCGCTCCAGCCATCATCCAGCTCGCGCAAGCATGCAAGCACATGCACGACATATGCAAGACACGACCACGCAAGACCGAGGCAAACAAGGGCAGTCACAGCTTCACATCGCCTTGGACGTCCTGTAGCTCTCGGTGGATGTCTTCAACGAACTCGACACGTAGCCGCGAAAGCTCCTGACAATCCGGGTTCCTCATCGCACTGCAAAAACACGATGCATCACTGCGAAGGAGCAGCTGAAGTTTTTACAGCACAAGGCGGGGAACATCAAAAAGCCTTTTATTGTAACCAACTGATTTCATCGCTGTGAAATCACACACTACGGTTGCAATGCTCGTATACACCTGCACTTAAGCACCAAAACAACATCACGCTGCCCGCTGCAACCACGACTGATTGGATTCCCGCCTGCTCGAGAAGCACTTTCATGCCGTTGCGCTCAGCCGTCTCCGCAGGTGATGCCTCTGCACAAAGGTGTCAATAAGCTGCAAATGCCTAGCACCCACGGCGTTCGTTTAGCTCAGCAAGTCGACAAGACTCCAATGATGTGGGATTGAACAGTGAAGAGTAGCTCAGACACTGACCTCTGCTGTGCTGGCTTGGGCCTGCCAGCACAGCTGAAAAATGTGTGGTACAAGTGGCCATCCACTCGCGAAGAGCAACGGCCTCGGCCTCATCTCTCCAGAATGCCTGCCACATCTTCGCCTTCTAAGTTGGAGCAGTATGGTACCTTGCTGTCCGCGTACATGCTCCTGACTTTGTTTGTCGTAATGTGCCGACGGCGCTTGAGTCCTCTGCACAGTTTCTGTAACTAGTGTTCTTGCTGTGCTGTGTCTTCTTGAGCAAAACCGAAACAAAGCATCAGGCCACGCTCGGGATTCTCATGATCCTTCAACGATTACCACATACAGCATACATCAGAACTTTGTGCCGGGCAAGCCTTGCGAGTAAGTAAGGTCTTACGTGAAACCCTTGGCAACACGTTCGCGCCTCAGACATGTTGATCTGCAGAGCCGGCCGAAAGTATCGATTCCTCAGTAAAAACCTTTCAACAAAAGCAGGCAAATCCGTCAAGTTTACCCCTTACGAGGCCTTATTAACAAAGTCTGAGCCCGGGGGTGCCTGTGCGGTGGCCCTCTTAAGCGTAGGCAGACAAAGAAGCCCAGGCAGAGGCCCGGTCCCTCAGGTTGATTCTATGATTAGGGCTGCCAAAAACTTCTGTTCTGACCCAGCGCCGGGACAAATCCTGAACTGGATCGGCAGATGGGGGGGGGGGTATTAAAGCGACCCGATAAAAACGCACACACGCACACACACACACACCCACACCACCACAGGCACATATATATATATGTATATGTATATGTATATGTATATGTATATGTATATGTATATGTATATGTATATGTATATGTATATGTATATGTATATGTATATGTATATGTATATGTATATGTATATGTATATGTATATGTATATGTATATGTATATGTATATGTATATGTATATGTATATGTATATGTATATGTATATGTATATATATATATATATATATATATATACATACGTGTGTATCTTTGTATGTATATATGTATGTTACATATGTATGTATGTATGTGTATATATATATACATACATACATATATGTATATGTATATATGTATGTATATATATATATAAATATGTATATATATATATGTATGTATGTATATATATATGTAAATGCATATATGTGTATATATATATATACACATATTTTAATATGTCAATTTATATGTATGTACTTATATCCTCCCAAAGATCTATGCTTGTTTGACTGTCTTCAGCTCTTCCCACTCACGAACATCTCCACATGACCCTCCCTCCATTCACATATCTCAGATCGGCTCTTCATGACTGCACAAACCTACAGTATTGACAGGTAAGGCCACCCACACAGAAGCACACACTGTACGGTCACGTGTGCTATCTTCTCTCAATCTGGTCCTTGGTTCGAAAATGTTGATGCAACGAAACATGATTCTTTTCAGTCATTATCTTCTTTTTGATTCAAACAGAAACCGTACAACCGTGAGTGTTCTACGTAACAGGAACTGGTGATTGTTGTTCATAGTTGTGGCCAAGGTACTGAAAGAAACACACATATGCCTCATTTGCTACTCTCCTTCTCGCTTGTTTGTTTCCTTTCAGTAAAGCAATCTATTCATAATCCTATCTCCTGGAAACACAAGCAGTCACAAGCAAGAGAAGATGCACCAGAAAACATGGGAACAGGCAAAAAGGACAACGTGCTCAATTTCATTTAACTGAAACGTGTTTACGTGTCAACTACACTTAGATTAGCACGTTTTTCCTCTTGGTTGGTTCTCTGTGTTTTTAGCTAAATAAAACACGCTTCTCTCTCTGACGTTCGCTCACTTTACTTGTACTTAAAACACAGGCACTCTTCTATCACTTGTTAAATGCACCCAAGAGGGCATGGTAACAGATACAACTTTTTTCCACAAATTAATACAAAGGTGTGCTTCCGCTTTGCTTTACTACCCTTCGTTTTTTATTCCCTTAAAACTGATGTTTCGCTCACACATGCTCACACTGTCACTCGAGAAATTGAATGAAAAGTGTGAAAGGAGCCGTGTGCTCTTACGCTTAGTGTTCTTCCTTTCATGTCACATCTAGGTTTGACCGTTCATGCACATTCCACCCTTAAGAGACCCAAGCATTAGTGGTAATCTTTAGTGGCTTGAAGATAGCCATCTCCTTAGGACTTGTGCTTGAAGAGTAAGATTATAAGGCAAGATTAGATCTCTAGAAGATAAGGTAATTCCAGATGAACGAAACCCAACAGCTAGGATTTACATCATCACCTGTTTTTTTTGGCGTGAGCGGGCCTCGTAGACAGCGGCTGCTGCGCTCGGTCCCATTAAGAATCTACAATAAGCAACAAGAAACGACAATGAAGAAACTAACCTGTACAGAGTGAAACAACTCGCTGCGACATACAGACTTAGCCGGCAAAATCGTTCAGCGTTAATTAAATGCACGGGCCTACGCATTCACTGGCCCTGCTCCCCGTAAAGACTGGGTCGCGCAATGGCAAGTAAAGGAATGGCCCCGCTGCCCCAATCATGGGTTGCGCACTGGCCCATATATATATATATATATATATATATATCCTAGACTTGTTATGCAACCAAAGGACTCTCTTACGAAAAGGTGACCCGAAGTTGCAAAAGCAAAAAGTGGAAAAAGCACACACCCCATTTCTGCAAGGGTGCGGAAGCAGTGCAAGTATATCTGTAAAAGCACAATATGTGCTCCGGTCTTTTGCTCCGAAATGGCTCGCGACAGTGCTCAAATGTCGCCGTTGCCATGTTAGCAATGGCACTGTGCTCTACATTCAAGAGGGGCAGCAAACGTGTTTGGCATGATTTACACGCCTCCTGCGAAGCATCGAACCTTTGAGCTGCTTCGCAACTCAAAATCAGCGCTGCCCTCGGCTATACTCCCAATGGGATTGGAAGCAGTGCCGACATGGCACCTTGCCATTTTGCAAAGCCCTTTGGACCGTCATTCTGGTGGTCCTGCGGGCACACTTCCACAGCCTTCCTTGTGGTAGGCATATCCGTGGCTGGCTACAACCACCATTTCACGAAATTCTCCATCAGGGAGAAAATACTGCACATCCTCCCTTCTCACGGGCCTGCTCGAACTTGCTTCCCGATCGGGTAGAAGAGCTCGGTTCCATGGGCAGCGGCATAGCTGCTGTCGAAGAGGAGCTTCCTGAGGTCGTGGCTCCCGTAGGCCGTGCCTCTGAAGACTGGGTAGCCGTAGCCTGCCCAAGCCCTGTCCCAGTCGTAACGCCCAGCATCGGCAGGGCATTCTCCTCCATCCAGCTTTGAATCCGTGCCGCCACTTCTGGATCAAGCCGTTGGCTGTGCCCATGGGCTCAGTGGGCACGTGCAGCTCGTGATTGTTGTTGGTGTTCCCGTTCTGGGCCTCCTGGTCGGTCGCCTCCTGGTTGTTGTGCTCGCTCTCCTCCTGGTTGTCGTGCTCGCTTTCCTCCTGGTTGTCGCGCTCGGTCGCCTCCTGGTTGGTGTGCTCGGTCTCCCTTGGGAATCGGCGCTTGCCTTTGCCTAGTGGTCGCCGTTCCCGGAGGCAGTCGTAGAATGCCGCCCCATCCACCAAGCCAGGGCCAACAGGCCCACAAACCAGCAGCAGCGCACCAGGACCACTAAGTCACTAAGAGAAAGTAGAGGAGCGAGGCGAGGTCCTCGAAGAGCTCGTTGGGTCCGGCCGGGCCGAACTCACATCCCTGTAGGGTGGCTGCAGCAAGAAGCTGCACCAGCCGCACCACCACGTCGTTGTTCCGGTCTCCTCGTCCTGCTCGCCTTGCTGTCGCCTCCCGGAACTCGTTCTGGCCAACGTGCTCCCCATTGTCGTGGACCAAGCCAACCAGGTAGCACAACAGTCGCAGCCGCTTTGTGGTAAAGCGCTTCCTCCCGAGGTCAGCTGGGTTGAACTCCGTCGGGACCGCCAGCACCTTCAAGAGGTGCTGTGCCACCCATTGCTGGATCCACAGACACGAGGTCTGTAGGTGCCTCACTCTCCCGACACCCAGCCTTGAAGCTATTGCTCGTGCCACCCAGAAGTCGGACCTCATGGCCAAAGTGGCCTCCTGCTGGACCAAAAACTCCCAGGCCTTCTTGACCAGGATGCATTCCGAGGTGGTCTGCGTCAGCGCCACCAGCTCGGCTTCTCCATTGCTGAGGGTCACCACCTTTTGCCCACGGACAAAGGAATAAGCGAGGGCTTGGCCGATGAAGATCTGGCCCGATGACAAACTCCGCCTTGTAGTTCGGTCGTTTGCGAAGTTGCTATCCGAGAAGCCCCCGATGAGGTGGCTGTGTTCTCCACCTCCTTGCTCTCCTTGGCGGTCGCCCGTCAGCTGCATCACTGACCTGCCCGGGTGGAGCTTCAGCTTTATGCCGTACCCCTGGGTCTCCCACATATAGCCCACCAGGTGTCGCAGGAGCTTGGCTGCTCGCTCGGTCGGTGCCGATGCCTTGCCCGAGAGGTACTGTATGGCCGCTTGGCAGTCCGGCCGTTCCGCCGACATAGAGAAGCTTCCCCAGCATGGTCCGGTAGAGGGTCGCCTCGCCACTTTCCAAGGCCTTGGTGGAGTCGAGGTCGAACATGTCCTCCTTGCCGCTGGGTCCCGGTGTGCTTCTCGCCTTTGGTCGGCCGGCCAGCTCGTAGAGGTCCTGGTAAAACCGCGTGGCCGCCCTTATGGTGATCGAGCCGTCGGGCTCGAACTGGTGGCGTCGCCGAAGGAACTCGTACATGTCCCCCGGCAAGTGGAAGGGCCCATTGACCTTCACCTAGAACTTGCTCTCCAGGGCCATCTGGATCTCGGTGATGTCGTCCACGTGGATCTGGGCCGCGTAGCGACCAGCCCTGGCCCTGAACAGTGTGGGCACCTCCTCCATGCTCTCCAGGTCCTCGGCCACGTCGCCGCTCAGCTGGTAGAACCACTTTTGCGATCCTTTCCTTTGTCCTGGCAGCACCCGGCCTAGCTTCCACTGACTTTGCCGTGTAGGACCTGGGGGAGGTAACAAGGACGGGCTCGTTGGCCGGTTGCTCCACCTGAAGGAACGCGTCCTTGATGTCCATCACCCACACAGGGGTGTTCCACTGCTGCGCGAGCAGCGGCACCATCCGGGCCAACGTGGTCACCGATGCCGGGGCTCGAGAACGTGTCTTGTCGTACTTCCACGTCTTGACGAAAACAGTGCTCAATTGCTCGGCCTCTTCCCCGGCCACAGGGTCGACCAAAACGGTCATCTTCTCCAGCCTCTCGATCTCCTCCAGCTCGGCGGCGTCGTCCAGCACCGCAAGCTCCTCGACGCTCAGGCTTGGCGGGTCCTCGGTTGACTCCTGCCCGTCGGCAGCGATCTCCGCCTCGATGTCCGGGCCGTGCTCGGCCCAATCGGCGTCCACAGTCTCCACCATCCTGATTGAGCCGCCGCCGTCACTGCTACCACTGCTGCTGCTCGGGTTTCCCTGGGCCATTTCCTCAGCCTTGCGTTTTTCAACCGCTCCGGCTGAAGATGGCTCGGCCTCGGCCTTCCGCTTTGGCGGGCTGGCCGGCTGCTCTCCTGGGCTTGCCATCCATGAGGGAAACGACGGGCTGTCTCCACAAAGTCCTTGTTCCAAGGCCAGCCAATGTAGCCGCCCTCCTTGATCTGGTCGGCCGTCAGCTGCTGGTCCGGGGCCGCTCGGCGAACAGAGGCGCTCTGGATGTGCCCGTAGACCGTCATGAGGTTGTTGGCGCCGCTGTGGGGATTCATCCCCACCCAGATCGCTTTAACCCATCTGGGTTCCGCTTTGTTGGTCCGGAAGACCTGGCCGTAGACGGTGTCCCCGAACTCGCAGAGCTTCTGGTCGAAGCGTTTCCCTCCAAACGCGATCTCGAACGGGGTCTGTTGCAGCCCCGGTATCACATGAAACCTGTTGTGCACGAAGGCTGCGTGCACCTGGCTCCACAACTTCAGCGGGGTGTCCGGCGCCAGCTTCCCTTTCTGCAGCTCAAAGCCCAGCAGCATGCAGGCACCTTGGCGCCTGATGGTCTACACCGTGCGCTCCGCCGCTCCATTGGACTCGTGCGCGGCGACGGGCGTAGCGCGCTGCACTGTCTTTCGGCCAAGTCTGGCTCTTGCTGCGGCCACTGCCCGCACAACCGCCTTGATGGCGGGCTCCCCGTCCGATTGGACGATAACCGCCTGCTCCTGGTGCAACGCCAGAGTGAACCGCACAATCTCCTCGGTCGCCTTCGCCAGGATAACCGCTCCTTTGTTGGGCCCGGGCACAGCCAAAACCATCTTCGTGTCCAGGTCGACGCCGATAAGTATGCAATTCTCCTGCTCGCCTTCCTCCAGCGAGGCAAAGTAGAAGTCGACCTGCACGATCGGGAGCCGGACCTCCCTATTGGCGCCTTGGCTGTGTCGGTCTCCGCGGCTTCTTGTCCGAACGCAGGCCTCGCACCAACTCGCAAAAGGCATGTGCGTGAGGTTGTGGAGGGCCACGGCTGCATCATCAGGAGCGCTCTCTGGCTGTCCTCGTGGTACTGGGTCTCGCCGGTCTATGCCCTCCAAGGCCTGCGCGGCATTGGCCGCCACATAGTCCCCGAACTCGTGCTGCTCAAGCCCGGCCGGGGCACCAGGAAGATCTTGCACGTCACCTGGCTCACTGGCGCCCATGTCAGCGTCTTGGCTTCCGGGTCGTTCTGCGGGTTCTCTTCGGCGTTCTGCGGGTTCTCCTCGGCGTTCTGCAGGTTCTCCTTGGCGTTCTGCGGGTCGTTCTGCGAGTTCTCCTTCCGGTGGCTCCGGTGTTCTCGGCGCCTGTGGTTGCGGGTGGCTCTCCACCACCAGCTCGCTTGGCTTGGGGGCAACCCCCCCTTCTGGAAAGAAGCCTTCCTCGAAAGCGTCCATGCCAATCAAAGTGATCCTCGGCTTGGGCGTCTTGGTCACCAAGGTAAAAGGGTTCTTCTCGCACAGGTAGTCGGCTGAGTTCTCCACTTGAAGCCAAAACCCAGCACTGGTGCGGTACAGCGTGGTTCGGGCCTTGTGGAGGGTCGCGTCGTACCACGGCCGGGGGTCGAGCAAGTCGGTCGCGGCCGCCTGGTAGTGCATCTTGATGCCATTCCCCAGCACGCGCATGCCCTCGTTCCCCACCAACGCCTCCATCTCTGCCGAAATGGTCACCTTGGGCACCTTTGGCGGGAGGCTCCGGGGGATCTCGGTGATCGCGCGGACCTCGCCCTGCACGACCAAAGAGTTGTGCTTGAAGGCCACGGGTGCGCGGAGGCCGGCCGGCGATCGCAGGATCACCCGGCTCCTCCTGTAGAGCCTTGGGTCCTCTTCTGAGACAAGCTGCCATCCTTGCTTGAGCAGCTTCCCGGCCGCCAGCAGCGGCACTCGCACCCGTCCAACCACGCAGGTCTCCTTGATGATAAAGCTCTGGCCGCGATGGTCTCGCAGCTCGAAGGCGTAACGCCGCAGGGCCTCGGTCGGGATGTCGTTGCCCTGGGCGTCGGTAAGCCTTGGTGGGGCCGCGTTGCTTGGCAGCGGTTCCCCCATAGCACGCATGGCCTCCGGAACCATGCCCGCGTCCGCCCCGGTGTCCAGCACAATGGTCACGGGGTCCTGTTCCTGGTCGGTTCCTCCTGAAGGTGGGGACCGAACACTCACAGCTCGCACGGCCAGCTCCTCCGGGAAGTCGTCGTAGAAGTCCGCCACCACGTCGTTGTCGGAGATGTCGAAGACATAGAAGAACTTTTCTCAGTAACTGGTGTTCCCAGCATAACTGGTGTTCCTGGGTTTTGGTTGGGTACGCCTGCTGTGATATGGCTGGCGTTGGGCTTCCCTACCAATGGTTATTGTTAGGCTCCGCTACCAATATACCCCATCCCTTACAATCATTGTGGCCAACAAATGACACGATCGTCAAACTCACTGTTGTCGCAAGTGACTGCAAGACTAGCTTTGGCACATTGGGCCACACGATCGTCAAACTGAGTGTTGTCGAAAGTGACTGTAAATAAATAAACAAATCATTATTTTTCTATGCATGTATTATAAAGAGCCATGTTCCTGTACGTGGAATAAAAACCCCCCGGAATAAAAACCCCCCGAGAGAAGAAAGCCCCGGCGCAGGATGCGGCCAGGCCGCCCCCCGGCCAGACAGGCAGAAAGGAAGGAACCCCGGCAACACAGGGCACGGCTACGCCGCTCGCCGGCTCAGTCAGGCGGGCGAAAGATGCGAAAGAAGGAACCCCGGCAACACAGGGCACGGCTACGCCGCTCCCCGGCTCAGGCGGGCGAAAGATGCGAAAGAAGGAACCCCGGCAACACAGGGCACGGCCATGCCGCCCCCCGGCTCTGACGGGCGAGAGCATGCGTGTATAAATACATGTACGACGTATGTGCATCTCGGCACAAAGTAAAGTCATAATACTTGCTAAGAAAGTTAAAGGCTTTGGATGATTCAACGGGTGCCCGCTAACCTGCACGCCCGTCCTTTTGTTAAAGACCGGGCTTCACTAAGGGTTCCTACCCACAAAGACTGTCGGACACTTTTGTTCCTGGGCACGGTGTGTCCTGGGGTCTCGAGCCTGCACGTCGCGTGTGCGTGACGGCTGTTCCTGTACATTAACTGTACTGCACTAGCTGTGTTACTGTTCCTGGCAGAATGTTTAACACCCCGCCTTCGGAGTTAGCGAAAGTTCCTCGACTGAGGTGACTCCGACTTTTCCTTGACAAACAGTAAACACGCTGCAGTTCCTTTTCACTTGCAAAACAAACACTGTTCCTCATCGCAAACGTATGCGCACGTTCACTCGCAATCCTCTCCAAGGTTGCTCGACTGTACAAAAGACGTTCCTGCACTTTACCTAGATCACCACAGAAACAAAAAGGGCTGTGCCACGGTTCCTGTGTCCTGCTGCTTCTTTCCTCGGCTCTCTGGCCTCAGTACTGCTCGCGGTTCCTTTGCTTCACTGGAAGGTTACTTTGCCTTCCTCTTCACTGTCTTTAGCTTCCTCTTGGTCGTGAAGCTGTTCCTTTAGCCACTCTTCTTTCATCTTTGCTTGCGCTTTGCACTTTTCCTTTCCTTGCTTGTCCTTTGACGCTGCTTTCCAACCTGTTTCCTTTGATCCTGAATACCAGTACCACTGTGCCTTGGCTTCGTTCCACTTCCACTGGTATTTCCTGTTCTGGAAACTGTAGACTGCAAACCAGTTTCCTTCAAACTCTCCTTTTCCTTTTCCTTTCATGAACGATGCTTCGTTCACTGGTCCTTTGGCGGACAGTTCTGGGTCGTCCTTGTCTTCTTCCTTCTGCTTGTGCTGTGTGACGTTCGGTGGCTCCTTTCCTGTTGCTTTTCCTGTTCCTTTTGCTTCTGGCTTCTCCTCTTCCTTTGCTGGTGTTGTGTCAGGTTCTGTGGGTGCCTGCGACCCGGCTGCTGATCCTCTGCTCTCAAGCTCCTGTGTAAGGCTTGCAATCCTTTCTTTATCCTCTTTGCGTTCCTTCATCATCTCCTTCATCATTTCTTCAAGCTTCTGGATCCTGTCTGCTTCACCTGATCCTGTTGCTGTTGTTGCTGCTGCCTTCTTTTCTGCTTCCTTCTTGGCAATGTACGCTGACGCTGCCTTTTGATCTTCCTCTCTCTTCTTCCTGGCTTCCTTCTCCTTTCTTTTCTTCTCCTGCTCCTTTCTTTCCTTCTCCTCTTTGGCTGCTGCGGCTGCTGCTGCTTCGGTCTCCTCCTTTTCCTTTGCCTCTCTCTCTGCTTTGGCTTTGGCTGCTGCTTCTACCTCTCGCCTTCTCTCGGCGGCTGCGGCTGCTTCCTGCCTTGCTGCTTCCTTGTCTCTCTTCTCCTGTTCTTCTGCTGCCGCTTCCAGAATCAACCTTGCTTTGGCAATTTGCTCCTCTTTTGCCTTCTTCTCCTCTTCTGCTTTTGCTTTTGCTTCTCTTTGTTCCTTTGAGATCCTGTCCTGTTCTTCCCAGTACTTGCGATCATCTTCATCTCGAGGTCGAAATCCTGTGCTTTCTGCTCTTGCCTTTGGCTTTCCTTTTCCTTTTCCTTCCTTCTTTCCTTTTGTTCCCTTCTCGTGCTTGTACGTGTAGTCCTTGTCGACCCACTGCTTTTCTCCTGTAACTCTGTGTTGCCTGTAGATCTCGCCGTTCTCGGAGTATTCCTTCCATTCGCTGGCGTAGTCGTAGGGGTACGGAAAAAGCTTCTTCTCCTCTTCCTTTTCCTTGAGCCTTTGCTTGCTTTTGGCGTTGATCTCCGCGATCTTCTTCTTTCTTCTCTCTTCCTTTGCTTCCTCACTTTCTTCTTCCTCTGCTGCTGCTGTTCCTTCATCGGGGTACTCCCCGGGATCTTCTCCTCCAACGTAGCTGTTGACGTAGGCCTCGTTCTCGTTGCCGGCTTCCTGCTCTCGTTCCTGGATGCCCTCGAAGTAGCCTCGGTCCGAATATTCCTTCCTTTCCTGGGACGTAGGTGACGTAGCTCTCGACGGTGCTGTTCCTTGTCCGTGTCCTTCACGACGTAGTTCACCTTCTAGCTCTCGGTCCTTGGCTTCTCTTTTCCTTTGTTCTTCTTCGTCTTCTTCCTCTTCTTCTTGTTCCTCTTGCTGCTGCTCGTAGAAGTCCTGCATCATCTGGTTCAGCTGTTCCTTTACGGCGTCACATGTACCTAGGACGAAGGCCATGTGTTCCTTGACCTGTTGCCGGTCTCTGTCGTTCTGTTCGGCCATTTCCTGAACCTGGTGCTTGACGTCGTAGATTTGTCCTGTCAAGGACTCCACACAACCAGCCACGTGTTCCTGGCTTTTGCGCAAACGCGCAGCTTCCTCTGTGTTCTTCCTGATCGACTCCGCGATCAAGTTCCTTTCATCAGAAGCGTTCCTTAAGGCTGTCGCCGCTTCCTTCAAAATCTCAAGTTCCTTGAAGACTTCCGCTGTGTTCTTGCTCGAACTCGCGCTTGCTTCCATGGCTGCTAAGGTTCCTTGGCTCTGTCGTTCTAAGGTTCCTTGACCTTCTGCTACCGGGCGAACTAGTTCCTGGATACCTGAGCGTTCCGCGAGTGTTCCGCAGAGTTCCTTGAGCTGCGAAAGCATCTCACAACATGTTGTTCCATGCGCTGTTCCTGCAGACGTTCCTAGCTCACATGCACTCGTGTCACTGCACATGCCGTCCTGCTCACATGCACTTGCACAACAGAAAACATGTTCCTGAAAGTCTGGCTGAAACTCTTCTTCCTGAACACAACTCTCAAAACACTGTTCCTTGAAACTCTGAATCTGAAGACTGTCTGAAATACCTGAAATTCCTGCAAACAACAAAGCTGCAAAAGACAAAGTTCCTGGGCTCTTGATCATTCTTACAACTGCTTTAGCTTGTGTTTGGGCCTTGTGTTCCTTGAGCTCTTCTCTGCCTACTGGTTCGTTCTCGCTGGTTTGAAAACCTAGCCAGTGCAACAACAGTCTGATACGTTTCGCTGAAAGGGGCTTGGTACCTATGTCGGCTGTGTTCTCCTTGGTTCCTACTGGGTGAACACTAATTGTTCCTTCTTTGTGGAGGTCTTGAAGAAAAAGGGTCCTGATCTGCAAATGCTTGACTCTTCCTACACCTTGCCTTGTAATAATTCCTCTAGCTGCAGAAGAATCCATGTACAAGTGTACCTTGCATTGTTTCCTGGTCAAGAATTCTACTGCTTCCTTCAACAATATAGAATCTGACGCTGCTGACGCTCCTGCGTAGTACTCTGCTTCACCACTGCTCAAGCTAACCGACTTCTGGTTCCTAGAAAAGGAGTAAATGCACTGACCGTCTAGGCAAACAATTCCTGAAGATGTTGAGCGCCTTGTGTCCTTCTTTCCTGCCCAATCTGAATCGCTGAAGACTTCCAAAAGGTGGTGTTCCTTGGGCCTTATTCCTGTAAAGTCGTAGTTACCATTCCTGATGGATTCATGGAGATTACTGAGTCCTCTAGGCGTTTTCCTGTACACTAAATGGTATCCTTCAGTTCTCGACATGTACTGCACTAGGTGGACTAAGTGTTTCCAAGAACCATGTGTTGGTTCCGACATCTTGGAGGCCAAACCTCTCACGGCAAACTGCACGTCAGGGCGGTCCTGACTGACATACAAGAGTATGCCAACGCTTTTCCTGAACGATGCTGCTTGTTCCTGGTTCAAGGTCTGAGTGTTGTCCTGTTCCTGCGACTCTTGGGTGCACGGAGTTGGCTTTCGAGGCTTTGCTGGTAAGCTTCAGTTCTTCCTTAAGCTTCACAAGATACTTCGGGTCACTCGTGATGTGGAGCTCGTGATTGTGGTAGCTGAATTTCCTTTTAAGGAATCGGATTGTCTGGTGTGACTCTCCTACCTCAAGTTCCTGCTCTGTCAAGAAGGGGCCTTCAACCTTTAGCTCGTAGGTTTCTCCTAGCTTTCCTAGCTTGGGCTCTAGGTGCCTTGTTTTCCCTGCTGCCTGAATGTCATCTACATGCACAACAAGTATGCTGTTCCTGTCGTCACGAAACAAAGTAGGGCAAGCTTTGCTCCTATCAAAGTTCTGCTCTTTGAGGGTTCCTGCAAAATGATCACTCCATAATAGTGCTGCATCTCGCTGTCCTGGAAGTACTCTAAGCAGTAACAAACCTTCGTTCCTACAACTGGGGTCCTGGTCGCCAAACAGATCCACATATTCCTTCGGGAATTGACATGCACATCGAGTCCTTTGTGGGACCTGCAAGAATGCGTCCTTATTTTCCACGGAGCTTTGCTTTATTTCTGAGGTAAGATTCCAATCATAGTATTCCCAAGCTATATGGGAAAATCAAAGTATATAAAGAATAAGAAAATTGCTCAAGCAGATGTGGCGCTTTTTCCTTCCGGCAAAGCCGAAGGGGGAAGTCGTGACATCCCCGCACCGATCGATGGCGAACACGAGGATCGCCAACGAACACCCCGGGAGTGGAGGGAGGGACAAAATTTTCCGGCCCTTTGGCCAGGGTGCAGCTACCCACCCATCCCACCCCTGTCTCGAGGCGGCGCGGGAAATAAAAGAGATGAACTCAGACGATTCAAAGCATGCATTCATGCCATGAAATGTGGTTCAAATTAAAGCAAAGGCGTTTTGAAAACTTCGCAGTAATTTTCAAAACTCTCCTAGGAAAATAAAGCTAATAGAGGCAAGCCTCATGTGTCGCTTATTTTCCACGGAGCTTTGCTTTATTTCTGAGGTAAGATTCCAATCATAGTATTCCCAAGCTATATGGGAAAATCAAAGTATATAAAGAATAAGAAAATTGCTCAAGCAGATGTGGCGCTTTTTCCTTCCGGCAAAGCCGAAGGGGGAAGTCGTGACATCCCCGCACCGATCGATGGCGAACACGAGGATCGCCAACGAACACCCCATTCACTTAAGAAGG